ATAGTGTTAGCTGTTCGGTAATACTTGACATTGTACATATAGTGTTAGCTGTTCGGTAATACTTGACATTGTGTGTATAGTGTTAGCTGTTCGGTAATACCTGAAATGGTATATATAGTGTTAGCTGTTCGGTAATACTTGACATTGTATATATAGTGTTAGCTGTTCGGTAATACCTGACATGGTATATATAGTGTTAGCTGTTCCCTAATACCTGACGTTGTATATATAGTGTTAGCTGTTCGGTAATACCTGACATTGTATATATAGTGTTAGCTGTTCGGTAATACTTGACATTGTATATATAGTGTTAGCTGTTCGGTAATACCTGACATTGTGTATATAGTGTTAGCTGTTCGGTAATACCTGAAATGGTATATATAGTGTTAGCTTTTCGGTAATACTTGACATTGTATATATAGTGTTAGCTGTTCGGTAATACCTGACGTGGTATATATAGTGTTAGCTGTTCGGTAATACCTGAAATTGTATATATAGTGTTAGCTGTTCGGTAATACTTGACATTGTATATATAGTGTTAGTTGTTCGGTCATACTTGACATTGTATATATAGTGTTAGCTGTTCGGTCATACTTGACATTGTTTATATAGTGTTAGCTGTTCGGTAATACCTGAAGTGGTATATATAGTGTTAGCTGTTCGGTAATACCTGACATGGTATATATAGTGTTAGCTGTTCGGTAATACCTGACATGTTATATATAGTGTTAGCTGTTCGGTAATACTTGACATTGTATATATAGTGTTAGCTGTTCGGTAATACCTGACATTGTATATATAGTGTTAGCTGTTCGGTAATACTTGACATTGTATATATAGTGTTAGCAGTTCCGTAATACTTGACATTGTATATATAGTGTTAGCAGTTCCGTAATATTTGACTCCACTCTGAGTGATATTTGATGCCGAACTGGTAGGTTGTGTTTCCTGTACCCACAAGTAGAACTGACTGGGCTAGCCGAATTGGGATTTTATTGGAGATTTCAGGCAAGGTCATACAGCCATTTATAAGGATTGGCTGTTGAAAGTCTTATTGTTTTCCAAAGACATAACATTACTATAGAAGTCTATTGGAAAACATTAGCAGGTGACTTACTTATAGACACGCTGAATGCGAGCTGGACACAGGCGACATCGGCCGAGCAGCAATTACACTACCAGAGCAGCAGTCCGTGTAGGACAGACACACGATCCAAGTGAAGTAGCATAAAATACCTGTCTTCCTGAATCATGTGGTGACGTGCTCATGGCGGACATTTACTGATGAGACTCAACCACCATGGTATCCTAAATATAGCATATCATATTTCAATACGTTCTGAAAGGCACTGTCTATTCATAGCCACGGAAGACGATTCAATTTGTCAGACGGGTACACAAAGTCCGTGATCTGGGCTGCCGGTTGTCGGACCATTTTGGGGGGAGATTGCGACTGCGTGGGTTAGACTTTGTGTGATGGCAATTAGGAGCCTATCTCTGAGAGTGTGGGTTCGAATCCCGGTTGGAACTTAACCTCCAAAATTACTAGAAGCTGTACTTTACTGAGAAAGTGTAATCCCAGATATATCATATGTTACATGGAGTATTAATGTTCACATAAGTCCCCACAGTGTCCTATATGTCTAAATGTGACAAAATAAAAACTATCAAAAACATTTGTTACCGTATAGGCGTCTTTGCATTTGGCTATGTACCTACTGGTGGCAAAACACTGTAAAATTAGAAATGGTCCATGACGATACATCCCAGCTTGTGATGATCTGAAACTTGGTTTTCAGATTAGAAACACCGTTCACCAAACTTTAAAAAATGAAAGAAACGCAAAATAATTCAAATACAAATGCTTGACAGATAAAAAGATTAAATTGACCTGCTGAGCAAGACTCGGCCCCAGTTTCTCCATGTCTGTGCGGTCCAACTCAGGTCCTGCAGTCCGGTGACTCAACGACCTTGTGCAAGGATGGAGATACTTGTTCTACCACTTCTCAGACGGCCTTGGTTTGAATTGAGGCGGGTGTACCAATCCGAAAACAAACCGATACCATGTTGAGACTGGCAAAATTTACTCTCAGATTTTTCCCACTAAAAATAACTCAACAAACGTATGACAAAATGTCAACTTGCACGTGCATTCTTCTTTAAATTTCCCTCCCACTACATTTTTGTACCATCTTGTTATGTAAAACTACAAACCTTAAAGCCGTTGCGGTTGTGCTCTACCCCAGGCGACGAACACAGGAAGAATATCGTTCAATCGAATATATTGCATTGTATTTGATGTTTCATGAATCAACGAAGGCAACATTCTCATTATATCGCATATGCGTTTAATTATTTTATCGTTCTTAACACAGTCATTACTAAACCTTGATATTGATGTAACTAGAAGCAAACATTCCGTGCGATGCTTCATCATCTCTCCTTTGGAGACTGTGCATTTGAAGGAATAACCAAGGCGAAACTTTCCACTGGAATCTTCTTCAGGATAATATTTCCAAAGGCAATTTGAGTATACACTCCTTTCTCAAGTCAGGGGCGGTGGGGTACCCTAATGGTTAAAGCGGTCGCTCGTCACGCCGAAGACACGGGTTCGATTCCCCACATGGGTACAATGTGTGAATCCTATTTTTGGTCTCCCCCGCCGTGATATTGCTGGAACATTGCTAAAAGCGGCGTAAAACTAAACTCACTCACTCACTTTCATTTATCATTAACTGATCCAGATATTATCTAAACTCAGTGTTTGTCGCCCTTCAATCTCTGACACCACAGGTCAAGCAATACCAACCACAAACAAACTGGTGATCGGACATGATGGTGCTATGTAACTCCGGGTCCGTTTTAAACAGTTACACAATTTCGGGGTTTTATCCCACGTTGAGATTATGGGTCGTGGTGTGAATGAAATACTATTGAGATAGAGGTGCACTGACCAGCTCACTCGTACAATTACCCATATCGTGGCAACCAGTTTGTTAGAACCCGTCGGACGCGAACCCGCGACCTTCGGATTGTTAGCTCGACAGCTAACCGACTGAGCTACGTCCACACTGTTGCACAATGTGCAAATTTGTCGAGTCATTCCTGTGGCGTCACGGAAATGAACGGAAAGAGTCGAATAGGTCACGGACAATTACGAATGCTACGGGTAGACTTGGTGTCGCGTGATTTTATTCTTCGGACAATTGCCGAATGGATCCGATGCCATTTGGCACACTCGTCCCATTCCGTAATCTACAAATTAACGTGTGGCGTGGAATGAGCCGATATGCCTCAAACTGAAAAGGGTTGTTGACGTCAGGCGTCAGACGTAGATTTCACGGTGCATGCATGAATGACGCGCTTTTATATAAATCGGTGATTTTGTGACAGAAAAGTGATGTAGGGAACACTGTAAGGATAATGTGGATCGCACTAAGAAACGAGGGAGACATGAGCATGTGTAGTGACGGCACGAGGGTGAGTTAGCCTTCGAATCATTACTGAACAAAATTTATGTTGCGTGTGAAAGAGGCTTGAGTGCAAATTCCAGGCCAATTTCCATTAGCCCAAAATTTCTACATTAACCCATTTCATAATGTACTTTCGACGTTTTTTGGTTTCCCGTTTTTGTGTGAAAAAAAAGTATTAAAATGCAAAAAAGAAAAACAACAAATGGTACTCACGTATTACACCGGACATGTACCTGCTATATTGGATTAAGTCCCTAACCCTAACCCTAACCCTAACCCCTGAAGCCTCAGCCCTAACCCTAACCCCCTGAAATAATCCTAATAAATAGAATGCATTGACCGAACCACCGGACATGTACCTACTATATTGCATTAGGTCCCCAACCCCCAACCCTAACCCTAACCCTAACCCTAACCCCTAGCCCTAGCCCTAGCCCCTAGCCCTAGCCCTAACCCTAAGCCCTAAACCCTAAGCATAACCCTAACCCCAATCCCTTGAATTAATCCTAATAAATAGAATGCATTGACCGAACCGGCACAAACACGACTGACTAGTGTAATGCATTATTACCGCTTCGAAAAATAAAATACTATTAAAACACTTTTCTATGTAATGGTGCAAAATACTGAATGACAAAAATATATATGTAAATTAAAAAAATTACAAAATACAAAATACACAAAACATAACACCTCAGCAGCCCGTAATACAAATAAATATGAGCGTATTAGTGAAAAATGAAAAATATTTCAAACTGGTGCTTACAAAATATTGCGCATCCGCCGGTATACAACTACTGGAAACTCTCAACATCGTTGGGCTTATGGAATGACATAGCTCGTAGAGATGAAACACCAGTGAGCGGAGCTTATACGCACTCGCTGAGCCAGACAACCGTGTTGCCATGCAGGCGTCATAGGGCATTGTACCGAGAACGTGCTCTCGAACAAAATCACATTACATTACGTAAAAGGGTATTATGACGTATTTTTAAAGTTTGTGGTGCTGTATTCTAAAGGTAGGCCGGGCACAGAAATACTAACCGATACCCACCGCCTCCGTGGTGTAGTGGTTAGAGCGTCCGCCCCGGAGAGCGGAAGGTCGTGGGTTCGATCCCCGACCGCGTCATACCAAAAAGACGTTAAAATGTGGTTCTTGTTGGTCCCTGCCTGGTGCTCGGCATTAATGGGTACAACAAGGACTGGTCGGCTCGGAGTCAGTATAATGTGTCTGAGTGGGGTATTCATGCTTCACTGCGGCATGGTATCTCAGTGGGCTAGCACTATAAAACCAGCTTCTGTCTGGGCTAGTACAAGCAGCCGCACATACACATACAGACGCATGCACGTCGTCATATGAGCGAAATATTTTCAAGTACGACCTTAAACCCAATTCAACCACCACCACTAACCGATACCCACATGGTGCCAGAAGGGGAGGTAACTCTGATAGTCTCACACTCAGATTCTATCTGGATGCAATATACACGTGTTAGGGAATCGATACCAGCACGCCCCGCACGCCAACCCCCTCGCCCAGCAACGACAACGACTGCACACGCACCTACTACAACATTGCTGATCTACCATGCCGCTGTGCTCAGCGCTGCCCGGGATTACACTCAGAACGAACTGTATGTGTTTATATATGTGAGGTGAGTTTTTCAATGTCGGGTAATTAACTCGAGCCACTGTTAAACGGTTGGATGTTCCAAAGTAATATCTTGGAAGAATCTAACGGTATATACTGGTTTCAGTTAACTGTAGAGCGATAAGTAATTCAGGTTAGACTGAAACAGGTAAGTATCTGTCCTGATACAACTCGATTTTATAAAATATACGGTTGCTTTAGCGCGTTCTTCTATTTTATTTAATTTTCATACCTTTTAAAATATTCTTTCCTATTTTTTCGCGGCGGGGTAGGGGTATTTTTACCCTATAATTTCATTTTTGTTTGGTTTCATTAGCTGTTTTGTTTGTGGTTTAATCTTGTTTGATGCATGTGGAGTGACAGGCTGATGTTCTAAGTATGTTGTTGAGTAATTCATTGATTGTTGATTTAACAAAGTAATTGAAGCGATTGAATAATTTATGCCAAATAGCCATTGCTTTTCTTCATCTGTTGACTAAACATATTGTGATATATTTCTACACGAAGTTTCACAGCGCTAACTGTGTTAGTCTCGCTGACGCTCCCCCTGCTGCGTCCCCCTGCTGCGTCCCCATGCATCTCCTGACAGTATGCTGTCTCGCTCCCAGTAGTTAAGCAATTCACTTTCACGGTATGGGGAGACAACAAGGCTTTTCTTTTCCAATACGTACGCCATTGTGTTTGAGAGATCACTATGACAACAAGGGGAGACTACTCCCCATTCCCGGCCATATGAACGGCCCTTCTTCGCCACTTCAATGACTTTATTAAGACCACTGGTGTCATATTGCGATCTATTATCGACTGTGGCATGTGCCGCGGTGAGGAGTGGCCTCCGTCAATATCAACCCCAGTATAACGTTCACCGGATAGCATACATCAGCCCGTTAGCAATTCCACGGGCAACGGAACAAAGACGAAGTTTCGGTTTACAACAGGGAGCACACTGAATCTGATTGCAACGGATACATTCTAAACCTGCAAGTTCCAGTGCTACACTGTTGTTTGGTGTCTCAAGATCAGTAGATCACATAGGCGGATCCAGAGGGGGGGGTGCAGGGGTGCGCACCCCCACTTTTGTGCTGAAAGTTTGTTAAATGACCATTGAAACTCGGGTGAAATTGAAGTGTGCAGCCCTCCTTTTCTCAATTGTGTGCAGCCCCCCTTTCTCAAAAAGCTGTATCCGCCCCTGGATCAATACATGAGATCAATACTGTTTTTGAATTGTATGTGTGTATCGTACTGGCTGCAACCCAACCTGTGTACAGTAATTGAACACCGTGGTTGCGTGCGCGAGCTCGTGTGCGTTTGCGTGACACTGTGTCTATAATTTCAACCTTCCAAAACCATTTACCCTCAAGTGAAAATTTCTGAATGTTCAGCACCTTCAGTCTCATCTGGGAACTTAGCAGTTATTCACTTAGTAACTTAGCAAAGATGCTCCATCTTGCCTTTTCTTAAACAAACTTCTGTGTTGAATATTTTATAGCGGTTATAAATTTAGATCGGCTTCGGACATTCTATACGTACAGAAACGGGTAGATAATAGATTAACAAGAGTTTAAATGGTATAAGGTTTTGTAGCATGTGTTATGGTGGAGGACGAATATAGTTTGTTGTTAATTTGTAACGATGATGTCAACGGTCGACAAAAGTAAATTCCATAAACGTTTAATATCCATCCCACATTATCCGAGTTAAATGTTCTAATGAAACCTAATCTAATGTAAACAAATCGTGATATTGCCATGTGTGTCTATTTCATAATAGGAGGCGGTGGGGTAGCTTAGTGGTTAAAGCGTTGGCTCGTCACGCCGAAGACCCGGGTTCGAATCTCCACATGGGTACAATGTGTGAAGCCTATTTCTGGTGTCCTCCGCCGTGATGTTGCTGGAATATTGCTAAAAGCGGCGTAAAACCAAACTCAGTTAGTCAGTCAGTATTCCATAATAGGTCGCGGTTTGGCCATACTCTCTTCTGTGGGCCATCACCTGTATCGTAGGTTGTTGGCTAATATAAGTACTGACAAGAATGAATCTTGTAAACACAATCTTTGCATCTTGACTGAGGGATACAGCTGCTCAGCGAGCGAACGGTGACAGGTAGACCACGTGTCAGTACATCCATCCAACAACTGTTTACTCGTCATATCACCATCCAGTAAGGTAGACGCGATTCCACTTTATGTGTTTGATTTAACAAACAACTATGTGGATCTATTGATCGATAAGGATGCTTCGGTATTTCCGATAGGCATGATCTCTATAGAGTTATATACAGAATACTATGTCATTTTAGAAGTGATCGGATATTTATTTCATTTGGTATAGAAATCACTTCTCATTCTTAATATTTGGTTAGCAGATTAGCAGAAAATAAACCAGTCACGTCGCGTATAGGACGTTTAATCAGCATGTATTTACCTACGTATTATACGTCTCTAAAGAGACATTATTATAAAATATATATGTAATAGGATTAATAAGATTATTGACATTCTGTACCGCAGCCGTTGTCCCATGACCCAGTGACATGGTTCGATCTGTACACTGTACGGCGTGCGTACAGTTGACCTCGGCTTGGTCCCTTGGGACAACGACAAAAGGTTTTGTTTTACTCTGTTTGCTCGCTGTGTAATGGCAGGAGTTGGAGAGTGCGGCCATTGTCAGGGTGCGCATGGTGTTGACATGACGACCAGAGACGCCGTTTTCGCCACGGCAACAACGACCTTATCAACAAACAAATATTGATTTGGGTTTATTCTCATTTGTTTTTGCCACCACACATTAAACGGTGCCTACATCACAGGTATATGGACCCAGAAGTTGGTGTTGTTATTCTGAACATTCCGATCACGCAGTAGTTGGCTTGTCATGCACGACACGGCTCCACGGCACATTACGACATGCACGTAAAATACAGTATAGCATGGGAGGTGGGGGTAGGGGTGCGTGTGTGTGAGTGTGGTATGGTGAGAGAGTGGGTGAAAGGGAGGAGGAGGTGTGTTTTAGAGTGGTGTTTACCGTAAAATGCAGTATAGCATTAGGGGTGCGGTGGTACGGGTGTTTGATGTGGAGTAGGGTGGCGTTTACCGTAGAATACAGTATAGCATTAGGGGTTGGGTGGTAGGGGTGAGAGAGCGGGTGAAGGTGGGTAGGGTGGCGTTTACCGTAGAATACAGTATAGAATTATGGGTGGGGTGGAAGGGATGAGAGAGCGGGTGAAGGTGGGCAGGGTGGCGTTTACCGTAGAATACAGTATAGCATTATGGGTGGGGTGGTAGGGGTGAGAGAGCGGGTGAAGTGAAGTAGGGTGGCGTTTACCGTAGAATACAGAATAGCATTAGGGGTGGGGTGGTAGGGGTGAGAGAGCGGGTGAAGTGAAGTAGGGAGGCGTTTACCGTAGAATACAGTATAGCATTAGGGTGGGGTGGTAGGGGTGAGAGAGCGGGTGAAGGTGGGTAAGGTGGCGTTTACCGTAGAATACAGTATAGCATTAGGGGTGGGGTGGTAGGGGTGAGAGAGAGGGTGAAGGTGGGTAGGGTGGTGTTTACCGTAGAATACAGTATAGCATTATGGGTGGGGTGGTAGGGGTGAGAGAGCGGGTGAAGTGAAGTAGGGTGGCGTTTACCGTAGAATACAGCATAGCATTAGGGGTGGGGTGGTAGGGGTGAGAGAGCGGGTGAAGGTGGGTAGGGTGGCGTTTACCGTAGAATACAGTATAGCATTAGGGGTGGGGTGGTAGGGGTGAGAGAGTTTATGAAGTGAAGTCGGGTGGCGTTTACCTTAGAATACAGTATAGCATTAGGGGTGGGTTGGTAGAGGTGAGAGAGCGGGTGAAGTGAAGTAGGGTGCCGTTTACCGTAGAATACAGTATAGCATTAGGGTGGGGTGGTAGGGGTGAGAGATCGGGTGAAGTGAAGTAGGGTGGCGTTTACCGTAGAATACAGTATAGCATTAGGGTGGGGTGGTAGGGGTGAGAAAGCGGGTGAAGTGAAGTAGGGTGCCGTTTACCGTAGAATACAGTATAGCATTAGGGTGGGGTGGTAGGGGTGAGAGAGCGGGTGATGGTGGGTAAGGTGGCGTTTACCGTAGAATACAGTATAGCATTAGGGGTGGGGTGGTAGGGGTGAGAGAGAGGGTGAAGGTGGGTAGGGTGGCGTTTACCGTAGAATACAGTATATCATTAGGGGTAGGGTGGTAGGGGTGAGAGAGCGGGTGAAGTAGGGTGGCGTTTACTGTAGAATACAGTATAGCATTATGGGTGGGGTGGTAGGGGTGAGAGATCGGGTGAAGTGAAGTAGGGTGGCGTTTACCGTAGAATACAGTATAGCATTAGGGGTGGGGTGGTAGGGGTGAGAGATCGGGTGAAGTGAAGTAGGGTGGCGTTTACCGTAGAATACAGTATAGCATTAGGGGTGGGGTGGTAGGAGTGTGGGTGAAGTGAAGTAGGGTGGCGTTTACTTTAGAATACAGTATAGCATTAGGGGTGGTAGGGGTGAGAGAGTGGGTGAAGGGTGGGGGGAGGTAGGGTGGCGTTTACCGTAAAACGCTGTATGGCATTAGGGGTGGGGTTGTAGGGTGAAGTGGAGTGTAAAGACAGTCAGACACTAACACGACTGAGGTATACATTTCACCGTTTAACAGACAGGATCTGTGTTGTGTGTACCTGCAGACCAGGTCCCAAGTAACCCGGGTGTGTCGTCAGAGTGGGTCTCGATAGTGACAGCTGGCTGTGATATAGCTCGACAATAACTGACATGGAGTCAAGCGCTTTATTCAGTTGTAAATATGGCTCATACAGTAGTAATACGAACGAGGATTACCCAATTGTATCGTGAGTTTTCCGGGTCCACTTTTATTTTTAGCGTATCTAAAGAGCTGTAAACCTAACTCCCTACAGTAACGAACAACAACTAACTGAAGTCACGAAGTCAAACGTTCCTGCTAGACAACTCAACCACCTTCCATATACACCTTGTCTCTGGCTGTACATCTAATACTTGTGTGTTATATCTTAGAGGGTGTCACGATGTGACTGGACAGTGGTCAAGAACGCCGGGGGATGGACGGATCGAGAGACCAGAAACACGTTCAAGGTAGGTTGTGTCGTCGTCAGATGCTCATGATATACCATTAGTACTGTTAACAGACTGCCATGAGGAGGAGCCAACGGAATGCCCCGTGGGAGAGCCAGTTGGATACCTCAGGGGTAGGCAGTCAAGAGGTATCAACAGTATGATGTCTACGTAAATGTGTATGGTGTCATCTGCCCTAACTGAACAGAGCGGTTGCCATGTTGGCCTGATGTATGCGTTCAGCACTAAATGATCGTCACAACCGTACACGTAGAACGTGGGTCATGTAGACTACTGTTACTGTCTCCCCTTCCTTCGTCTACTCACCAGAATACGGTTTGATACTTCAGAAAAACCGTCCCTCTAGCCACATATATAGTGGTTTTCATTGAACTTTGAATTGTTTCAACAACGGGGGAAGCCGAAACGACCCTTATCTTATAATAAAGAAGTTATATATCCATAGAACTTTCCCCGTTGTTCACCACACCAACATCTAAATGCCTCTCCAGAAAGTTTGAATGGGATTCAAGATCGAAACAAAACTTGTCACCGGATCATTTCAAGTGTACCGTGAAACTACCTACAGTGATAGGAAATTAGCGGATGTTACTTGGTGTGACCTGAAACTTTGTGATCAGTGTTTCGTTAAACTGATAAATGAATCTTCAGTGTACTGTGGTGCTGGAGCATGAATCTGTTCAGGAAACTATCACTCTGATATGAAAGCGATGTGAGTGAGTGAGTTTAGTTTTACGCCGCACTCAGCAATATTCCAGCAATATGGCGGCGATCTATAAATAATCGAGTCTGGACCAGACAATCCAGTGAACAACAGCATGAGCATCGATCTGCGCAATTGGGAACCGAGGACATGTGTCAACCAACTCAGCGAGCCTGACCACCCGATCCCGTTAGACGCCTCTTACGACAAGCGTAGTCGCCTTTTGTGGCAAGCATGGGTTGCTGAAGACCTGGCCCCGATTTCTCAAAACGAACTTAAGTTTTTCTCAAATTTCAAACTTTGACAACTTGAAACAGCTGAATTTTTAACTCAACTGCTCTTTTTAAATAAAAAAAGCCCAAACAACTTAAGTAATCTATCTACCAAACTCAAATTGTCTACTAAGTTTGAGTTTAATATTGATTTCAGTTTATTCTGGAGAATGCATTTCCTGCATTTTCTCAAATTTGAGTAAAAACTCTGACTTAAGTTTGTTTCGAGAAATCGGGACCTGTTCTACCCCGGATCTTCACGGGTCGAAAGCGATGTGTCAGTCTCCAGTGTGCTGTGTTGCTGCCGGGAGAATATGTTCAGGAAACTATTAGTCTGATATGAAAGCGATGTGTCAGTCTCTAGTATGCTGTGTTTCTGCTGGGTGAATCTGTTCAGGCACCTGTCAGTCTGACATGAAAGCGATGTGTCAGTCTCCAGTGTGCTGTCGATTTTCCTCGTATATCCGTGTTAACAGTTCACTTCGCATGTTTAAGGCAATTATTCAAAACAACAATTATTTATAAATATTGAAAGAAGGAGTGGTGTGAAATATGTGTAGGGTAAAAATCTGACAGCATTTTATAATTCCTACTCAGATTGAGAATCCTGTAACAGAGACCCTCGCTGCCAGCCCCACTGATCCTCTGTTCACCTGCTTCTCCCTGGTTGTTGGCGCAGTCCACTTGTGTTGGTTCTAATTGTGTGCTGATAGTGACTATCGCAGAATCTGGTCTTGTGAACAAGATATTCTATACGTAATCGATACGGGCCTCATCTAAAGGATCATCTGTCGTTGAGCACATGATCACCTGAGATATGTTATCAAACAGCGTCGCCGACGCCAACCAAGTAGTTTCAACATGCAGCTGGAGAAGGCCAGCAGTGTTTGATGTGCCCCACCTCCACGGGGAGTCTCACAACAACAGACGGAACATACAAACATTATAACCTAAATTAATGACATTTGAGTCTTTGTTCTGTCATATATATATAACTGCCACGTCTTGAGTTGTCATATATGCAGAACAATATAACACCTTGTTTGCACCTGTTTGGTGAAGTTGAAGGTCGACAGCCTGTGTTGAATGCTGAAACCGATACATAGTTCCACACAAGGTGGAGCATCAGCTGTATCAGCTGTACCTTACATCAAGGTACAAACCACACCTTGTGGAGCATCAGCTGTATCAGCTGTACCTCCACACAAGGTGGAGCATCAGCTGTATCAGCTGTACCTCACATCAAGGTACAAACCACACCAGGTGGAGCATCAGCTGTATCAGGTGTACCTCACATCAAGGTACAAACCACACCAGGTGGAGCATCAGCTGTATCAGCTGTACCTCACATCAAGGTACAAACCACACACCAGGTACAAACCACACCAGGTGGAGCATCAGCTGTATCAGGTGTACCTCACATCAAGGTACAAACCACACCAGTTGGAGCATCAGCTGTATCAGCTGTACCTCACATCAAGGTACAAACCACACCACATCAGCTGTGGAGCATCAGCTGTATGGAGCATCAGTGTACCAGCTGTACCTCACATCAAGGTACAAACCACACCAGGTGGAGCATCAGCTGTATCAGCTGTACCTCATCATCAAGGTACACCAGGTGGAAAGCTGTATCAGCACCATCCAGGTACAAACCACACCAGCATCAGCTGTATCAGGTGTACCATCACATCAGGTGTACCTTAGGTACAAACCACACCAGGTGGAGCATCAGCTGTATCAGCTGTACCACATCCAGGTACAAAACCACACCAGGTGGAGCATCAGCTGTATCAGCTGTACCTCACATCACAAACCACACCTTGTGGAGCATCAGCTGTATCAGCTGTACCTCACATCAAGGTACAAACCACACCAGGTGGAGCATCAGCTGTATCAGCTGTACCTTACATCCAGGTACAAACCACACCTTGTGGAGCATCAGCTGTATCAGCTGTACCTCACATCAAGGTACAAACCACACTAGGTGGAGCATCAGCTGTATCAGCTGTACCTCACATCCAGGTACAAACCACACCAGGTGGAGCATCAGCTGTATCAGCTGTACCTCACATCCAGGTACAAACCACACCAGGTGGAGCATCAGCTGTATCAGGTGTACCTTACATCCAGGTACAAACCACACCTTGTGGAGCATCAGCTGTATCAGGTGTACCTCACATCCAGGTACAAACCACACCAGGTGGAGCATCAGCTGTATCAGGTGTACCTCACATCAAGGTACAAACCACACCTTGTGGAGCATCAGCTGTATCAGCTGTACCTCACATCAAGGTACAAACCACACCAGGTGGAGCATCAGCTGTATCAGCTGTACCTTACATCCAGGTACAAACCACACCAGGTGGAGCATCAGCTGTATCAGGTGTACCTTACATCAAGGTACAAACCACACCAGGTGGAGCATCAGCTGTATCAGCTGTACCTCACATCAAGGTACAAACCACACCAGGTGGAGCATCAGCTGTATCAGCTGTACCTCACATCAAGGTACAAACCACACCAGGTGGAGCATCAGCTGTATCAGCTGTACCTCACATCAAGGTACAAACCACACCAGGTGGAGCATCAGCTGTATCAGGTGTACCTCACATCCAGGTACAAACCACACCAGGTGGAGCATCAGCTGTATCAGCTGTACCTCACATCAAGGTACAGGTACATCAACCCTTACAACCAGGTGCAAACTACACCAGGTGGAGCATCAGCCGCATCAGCTGTACCTCACATCCAGGTACAAACCACACCGGCGTCCTGCATACCGCTAGCTGTAACGGTAACTCCTTTCGTCACGTTCCCCAGCTCATTATCCGGGTCATGTAGGTTCAGAGGTTAATGATATCTCACATGACAGAACGTATATGACAGGGATACATCTCGACTCTTACGCATCTAGTAAGCAATACTCTCCACTAATGTCCAACCCAGTTCCATATTTTAACATGATTACAATATGTCAACGAGTTTCTTCAGGTTAACGTCGCTGTATGGCTGAAATTATACACGTCACATATGAACACATGGTAAACTCTTGAACTGCCTATGCATGTATTTGTGACGGGTGACCCGGATGTGGAGGATGCGTCCACGAACATCTAGGAGAATAATAAACACATGATATAGACAGAATCGCACTGGATATATTTCATGTATGTCTCTATGGTAACGAGATGATCATTCATATATGATCAGTGTGACATTCGCTTGCGATGAACTCGTCAATAGATGGTAACTTGTATTACTGAACAGAGGGACGGGCCCACTGTAGCACATCTGCACGGTGTCAGTGCCCCTTTAATTTCTTACCATGTGTTGAAGCCCCCGTTGTCAGTGACGCCGCTTGTTGTTCTCTAAACATATTACACTTCCTACATATATTTCTTTCATGGAAATGTTTCTTAACTATGTCGCCCAAATACAACGAAATGAAAATAAAAGCTGGCGGAAGTTTAGCTCACTAAGTTGTGTTGCAATTTTTGTGCGCACAAGTAACAGTAAACTAACGTCCCCCGAAATACAAGTATTGAATCATATTGACACACATCCCAATAGAACAGGACAATATTTCCAGTTGAATACACTTGCCAAATAATTAGACTTGAGATCAGGTTAGAGTTGGTGCAGTATCTGATGTCATGGAGGCAGACAAACATGTGATGTATCTGTAAAACATGAACTGAGAATGTATGATGACATCGCTGTAACAGAACGTCTACGGGGAACATGTTGACAAACGCTTTGCCTCTTAATGTATATAACTTTGATAGAAACACAAAATTCATGTGCGATGGATTTAGAAATTGTGAGACAGACTAAAATACCTCCTTTTTGAGCAGCCCGGCGAGATACATTGTAATTGGCATGGTCCAGCATAGAGCCACGAAGGGTGGAGCTACGCATTTACTCACACACACACACACACGCCACAACCCACTCACTCACTCATTTGCACATCCACTCTACAACCCATTTTAACCAAAACAACACCCAACCAGTCGATCAAC